CAGAGCACAGGAGAGGATGAATAATGTTCCTCGATATCATGAGAACATACGAATTTTCTAGACTAAGCAAAGGATTGAGAATTGGAGCCTTCGGAACCCTGCCGCCTTGGGAGATGGGAACAAAAGATTTAGCTCAATTGTCCAAAACGGAGGAGCAAGTTAATTTTAATTGTTGATATTAAGGTTTTTGTTTTTTGTGTGTGTTCTATTTTTCTCCCAATATGGCAAGGTAGATCCGCTTAGAAAGGTGGAGATGGAGGAAAAAGCCTTGGGTTTTTTTAGTTCAGTGACAAGAGATAATTACCACAGAATTGATCAGTCACTCTGAGTACTGAAGCAAATAAATCGAGCATTGGCCAATGCAGGAGGAGAATGGCAGCTAATGGAAGTGGTAGATAGGTCATCCTGGCCATAATTTGGCTTGATGAAGCATCCACATGGGCCTGGTGTTAATGTGCTATTGATATTCAGCCAGCCAATTTCCCCTGTGTGGCTCGGGCTGTGACTCGTTAGAGCAGAGCTGGGCATCACAGTGGTAAATGAAGAGGAAAATTGAAGTAATGTTGTATTATAAATTTATGATTTCATCTGCCTGACCTAGAGGGTGTTCAGTGAGGGGAGCAGAGGATGGGAGCCCCTCTCTGGCACATGCCATGTTCTTCTCATATTTGTTGTTGGAAGGCATACTGGTGGCCATTGGAGAGTGGGGAGGATGGAGGTGATACTGGGAGGACAACAGTAAACCATGTTTTTCCCTCCTAGTCCCCTACCCCCACTTCCTTCCTGTCTGCCGTTCTTGGAGAGAGGCTTTGGGGCATGTCGAGAAGTTGGGGACGTGTTTATCCCAGTGATCAGGAGGCTGGAAGGAACTTGATGTTCCATCCGCAGCCCCCATCCTCCTCCTCCACAGGAGTCTTGAAGGTGACACATGGGCTAATGCTTTCACTGTCAGATTAATGCTAAAATATTTAAGATCCCCAGTGCCGAAGCTGGATACAGCACCGTCATTTTTCATCAGGAAAGCCCCACAGGCAGCAGTGATTTGGCTGTTTGCATATAATCCGTTTATCAATATTGTTGAAATAATGGTATGAGAAATCTAACCCTGAAAGATCTGATTTAATAGCAGAGGTGATTAATTTAAAAGAGGATTGAGCTACTCAGCCATGAAATAAGTATCAAGGAAAGAACCAGTGTGTACATGTCTATTTAAAGCTTCAGTGTCCTCTTTTCCCCTCTCCTTTTTCCTTCTTTCTCTTCCTTTCCTTCTACCAACACCCACCTACCCACCCACCCACCCTGGTACTGTCCTCCACCCTCTCATCCTCAAAACTCAACCATCTATGTTCCACTTCCAAAAGGAAAGTTGATGCCAAGCTCTTGGATCATTTGGTCTTGCTTGCCTAGAGGAACCGTGAAGGAATCCACCAATTCATGACTCAGTGCTATGCTAGAAAACAAATAGTGAAGGCCCTGGCACTGAGGCCCCTCCAAGGTGGAAATATTTCAACTGGCCAATGAGTTGTGACAAAAAGCAAATTCAGGAGTGTTTCTCCCTGGATCGAGAAAGCAGCACAAATGGTCTCAGCCCTCAAGTCACAGATTTGAATGGGGCCTCCACAGGCCCATAGATCATTTGGGGCCTCAGATCATAGAGACCATCTGCCCAGGGTTCTTAACCTGGGGTCTATGGGCTTTAAAAAATATTTTAAAATGCTTGATTTTTAATAATAATATTTAATATGTCTGCGAACCTTTAAAATATTCCTGTATTTCTATATAATTGGTTTCCTTTGTAATCCTGTGTATTTTATTTTATGAATTTTACAACATTATTCTGAGAAGGGGTCCATAGTCTTCACTAGTCTGCCAGAGCGGGCCATGACACAGAAAAGCTTGGGAACCCTTGATCTAGTCCAGTTGAGGAGGTGAGATGAAGGGGAAGTGATCTGGTGGCACAGTAGATAGAACACTGGGTCTGAGACACTTCTTATCTGTGTGACCCTGGGCAAGTTGCTTGACCTCTCTCAGCCTCAGTTTCCTCAACTGTAAAAAGGGAATCATAATAGCACCTCCCCCCAGAGTTGTTGTGAGGATCAAATGAGATAATATTTGTAAAAGCACTAAGCCTAGTGCCTAGCACATAGTAGTTGTTATATAAATGTTTATTCCCTTCCCTGAAGAAGACAAGGTCAAACAGTATAATCTTCATTTTAGCACTACCCATAAATTTGGAAGTGGAATTGTGCATGGTTGAATTTTGATGACCGGGATATGACTGAGACTAGGACCCAGATCTCCTGGTTCCCAGGCCATGTTGTCTCTAGCTTGATAGAACTATCCACTAGGGAAAAAGAAGAGATCATGTCACTAACCACTGATTCAAAGAAGAAAAGATTATAGACCTGTTTGGGGCCATGTACATAATCAGTCAATCAACAAACGTTTGTTCATTGCGTGCTTTATGCCAGGCCCTATGCTATTGGGTGTGGAAATCTGTCTTACCCTACAGGAAAATGTGGGCGGGGGGAAGGGGACAAGAGAGTAGGGGGATGATAGAGAGGAGGGCAGATTGGGAAAAAGGGTAATCAGAAGCAAATACTTCGAGGAGGGACAGGATCAAAAGAAAGAATAGAATAAATGGGGGGGGCGGGATAGCATTAAGGGAAATAGAGTTAGTTTTTCATAGCATGTCTACTGTGGAAGTGTTTTGCATACATGCACATGTATAATCTATATTGAATTGCTTGCCTTTTCAATGAAGGTGGATGGGGAGGGAGGAAGGGAGAAAATTTGGAACCCAAAGTTTTAAAAACACATGTTTTAAAAAAATGTTTTCACATGCAACTGGGAAATAAGAAATACAGGAAATGGGGTACAGAAATCTATCCTGCCCTACAGGAAAATAGAAGGGGAAGGGGATAAGAGAAGGGAGGGAGAGATAGAAGGGAAGGCAGACTAGAGGAAGGGGTATTCAAAATGCATGCCATCTTGGGCATTAATAAAAATAAATAAATAAAAGGAAAAAAAGGAAAAACAAAAAAAAAAAGAAAAAGAAGAGATCATGTCACTAACCACTGATTCAAAGAAGAAAAGATTATAGACCTGTTTGGGGCCATGTCAGTCAATCAACAAACATTTGTTCATTGCATGCTTTATGCCAGCCCCTATGCTAGGTGATGGAGATGCAAAGTTAGAAGGGAAATAATCCCTGTTCCTAAAGAACCTATATTCTATAGGGTAAGAGAATTTATACATTCTGGGTATCCCAAAAGTCTCAATGCAGTGTTAAGCTTATTAAATTTCAGCCTGTTATTAGATTGTTATTAATATTAACTTATTAAAGCTACCCAAATTCATGCTGATTAAAGATATTAAAATTCATGATTGTTAAAGATAAAGTGGTTGGCCATTTCATCTCCAGCTCATTTTACAGATGAGGAAACTGAGGCAAACAAGGTTAAGTGACTTGCCCAGAGTCACACAGCTCGTAAGTGTGTGAGGCCAGATTTAAACTCAGAAAGATGAGTCTTCCTGATTCCAGGCCTGGCATTCTGTCTACTCTATCTAAGCATGCCACCCAGCTGCCCCTTTTTTGAAAAAATGCACATTAGCTTATTAAAGCTAACCATAAATTTGTGTTTATTAAAACTTAGCACTGCATGTGATTTTTGGGACACCCAGTATATAGGTATCACAAATATATACAAAGCAGGTAAAAGGTGGTTGGGGGAGACTGGTATGGTACTTGTAGCTGAGGATTCTGGGAAGAATCCTTTCCAGCTCGCCTTCTAGAATCCTATGATGAGGCAAGAAGGAGAAAAGATGCCCACTATGATTTGCTAAGAGATAGAGAAGAAAGTCGACCAGGAATGCAGCAGGACCTAGCTTTGCTGGCAGTGGTTTATCTGTTTCCCACCTGAATCTTTTCAGCAAAGTGCACCTCTGCCCCCTTTTCCTCAAAGGAGAAAACAGACATCCTGAGAAGAAACGTTCCATGCCCCTTGAGCAAAATATCCTATGAAAACACCATCTTACTCTCTGAAAAGGGCAAAATAGAGAGCATTCCCCATGCTGGAAAATAATCATAGCTAATACTTCTGTATAGCACTTTAAGGTTTGCAAGGCACTTTACATATTTTATTGTCTCTTTTGATCATCACTTCAACTCTTTGAGGTGGGTGCTATTACTGTCCCCATTTTACAGATGAGGAAACTGATTCATCTAGTGATTTGTCTAGAGTCACTTAGCTAGTAAGCATCTGAGACAGATTTGAGCTCAGATTTTCCTGACTCCAAGCCTAGCAGCTTGTATACATCATACCACCTAACTGCTCCAATGGGTTATGTATCCAGAGTGCTTTCTTGGGAAAACACCACCAGGGCCGTAGAAGTTATGGTGCAAACACAGACTTGTCCTGCTTCACTCTGGGTGGGGTCTAATGGATTATGTGCTTCCCAAAGGCAACCTCAAGCTTGAATTTTCTCCCCCAATGAACTGTTTCCCCTTAACTAACCTGCTTGGTGCAGGTGCTTTGTTTCCCTTCATGGCTGTCCCCCTCTCCCTTGGGAGTAAGCATTACTAATACCTAGGCCTCCCATTGTCAATAACTCTAAAGTAAAGTACATTCATTGTAAGCTCCCAAAATGTCAGAGCCAAGCAGGGGCTCTGGGGTTTCCAGTTAGTACCTGGCATTTACTCTGCCGATTCAGAAAGAGTGCCTGGTCTTTGGGGCCTTAGCTGGCCGCACTCAGGTTAATTGTGTGTAAACTGACAGCCCCGTTCTCCACAGCCACTAGAGAAAGATGACCCATACCACAGGTCCAGGGCCTTATTGAAGAGGAGATCTGGGGCTTGTTCCAAAAAAGAAAAAAGAAAGAAAAAAGCCAGAATGATCACCCTGCTATCCCCATCCACCTGCTTCCTGTATCTAATTTGAAAAGAGTAAAGAGCCAAGCTTCATTAACATGACTTTCTCCTGTTTATATATGTGTTCAAGGCTACCCAAACTTTGTGGCGACTTATGGCCGAGGCTATCCCGGATTTGCTCCAAGCTACAGCTATCAGTTTCCAGGTGAGTACCTTTGTGTCACCCACAACCCTGAAAACCCGACAGATTTGGGGGTAGATGGGAGAATCCAGAATAGGATTTGACTCATGCAAAAAAAAAAAATCCAGATAAAAAAAGACATACTCATCCTCAGTATCAGGACACAGATAAGAAATTTGGATTAATTTTTCTGATGAATTAATTTGGTTAACTAATGTATGTTAATTGGTGCTGGTTATTTGAAAATGGAAGTTTTTAAGAAAAAAGGGAAAGATTAAACAGTAGAAATCCTGGAAGACAGAGGTCTCCCTCTGATCACTCTTATTTTTTCTGAAATGTGTTGTAAGTTATGTCTCATTAGGGATTTAACTCTGGGGGCTCTGGGATTTATTCCACCCACCATCACCGCTCTCCTCCTCCCCACCATGTGTCTGAAATTTCATGTGTTGGCGTCTTCCTCCCATCCTCCTCCCCCTTCCCGGACTGATTCATTTCTAACAGCTCTCAATTGGATGCTCTTTTCCTGTGTGTTGGTGGGTTTCTTTTTTTATTATTGTTGGTGTTTGCTTTCCATCGTTGGGTGTTTTCCTACCTCTCTCCCTCTGTGTGGGTGTCAGTCTTGCTGCAGCCCTGGTTTCCATTCAGTCAGAGTCTACAAGGACTGCTCTCCAGTCCCAGACTCTTGCTGTGATTTGGCAGGCTCACCTGGGATTGGAAGCTCCCCCAGGGCAGTGGGAAGGCAGCCTGGAACTGGGAGGCAGTGTGGTGGGGTCGGAGAGAGAGTCTCTCCCCACAACGGGAAATTATTGGCCTGAAACGGAGGTATTTCCTGAAGAGTCATAAGGAAGGTCTTCAAAGCAGAGCTCAGACCTCTGTGTGTCTATATTCGTTGGTCAGAGGCAGGACGTTACTGTGAAAAGCTGGGCCCTGGGATAGATTTCACACCTGACCGATTAGGAGGCAACCAGCCTTATTGGGAGCTTTATCTACCTTCAGTTACCTAGAACCAGGTGGATACAAGCACTGGCTCCTGGGCTTAATTACGAAGCAAAGAAAATGAAGATGTGGCAGGTTCTTGGCCATGGAGATATAGGTAGGAGAACTAGTATGATATAGTGGAAATAACACTGGCTCTGCAGTCATAAGTTCTGGATTGAAATCCCACCTTTATGACTTCTGTGACCTTGGTCAAGTCACCCACCTTCCCTGGACCTCAGTCCCTCATCTTTACAATGTGGGGTTTAGACTGGATGACCTCTAAGGTTCTTTGAGATTCTCAATCTCTGATACCATGGACCAAACATGCATCTTTGTTTCAAGCTTGGGAGGGGGACATTCATATGAATGGAGAGGAGCTCAGGGTCGATTTAAAAAGTGGTCTGCCTTGCTACCACAAGCAGGCTAGACCTTTTCCCTTAAGACTTGGGGGGTGGAGCAAGGTCAAAGGAGTTGGAGTCCAGAGTGGAGGCTTCCCCTGGTGCCAAGACATTTCTCTACCAGGGGATCATCAATTACTCTAGATTACACTGAGGACTCCTTGCTCACAGCTTCTCTCAGATAGATGAGCAGAGGGGAGTGGAGAAGCCCAGCATACCTGCTTGGGGGCAGCTGCCCCCTGGCTCAAGGGAAGGATGGGCAGGAAAAATACTGTAATCCCAGAGTGTAGAAAAAGAAGCGTAGCAAGGCTTAAAAAGGTGAGGGGAAGCACAGGAAACCCATCATCATCATCATCATCACCACACACACACACACACACACACATCCCAAACTTCATCTGTACCTGTTAATGTTACAATTTGCATCCTTCTCAACCTATGAGCTGATAGTTGGATCAAGGGGAGATATCATTTCCTCTTTGCCTCCCTCGCCAGTGTGCCCCCCCTAAGGCTTTTTTTGAGAGGGGTGAAGGATGAGCAGGAGGTTTCAAGGTCCAGTTGTCCTCATCCTGATGTTTTGTGGATTTGGGCACCCTCCCCATTGCCCTTTGATAACAGCATCACTCATTCCTTCCACTGGTGGGGCACTGTTCCCAAAGGAATATGTGTTTTTTTTTAATTGAACTATTTGAGGAATGTGGGGAGGTAGGGTCTTTTCTGTTTCCCTTCTCTTCCTCTTTCCCCACCTCCATCAGCCTTCATAAGCCCTCCGAAATCAACATATCACCATCCCCACCATGAGTCACGTTAGAGAACCTTCACTGACAGGCCAAGTGTGAATCCCAAATAACTGTACCAAGGTCTCTCCAAGAAAGATACTGGTCCCTTGGAAGAAAGAGCCAATGAGAAGGAGCATGGGAAGAAAAGGCAGCACCATATATGCCCTCCACTCCCCGTAATGAAAGAGGGATCCCATGGCCTCAAGGGGTAGGTGTTGGGGTGATCATGTACCATGCCTGGGATGCTTGCCACCGTCAGGACTGCTCCATTCCCTAATGTAGTCCAGAGGGTTTAGATGGCATTGACGGCTTAGGTGTTTGGCCTCAGCAAGCTGTTGTCCATCTGGTCAACTTCATGTCACTTGCTCGTTGGCAGTAAACAGTTTTTATCCCATCTCTCCTCCCCTCTCAGGCCTCCCCACCCTACAAAATCAGTAAGCAAATAACAGTTGCATCTCTGAAAGCCCATCTGTCTTCACCTAAGCACTGAAGGCCCATGGCTACTGGCTGGGACTGGCCCAGATTGGGCCCAGCAAGGTTGTCCAAGAAGGACTGTTCAGAAACCGTATGGCAGGGAAAGACTAACCCATGGGAGAAGGCCATTCCCATTCCCATTGCCATTCCCTGACCATCCGTACTTCGAATAAGAGACACCCATTTCACACCTGCACCCTCAATCCCACTCTCTCCCTTGCTTATCTCCTCCCAACCCTCAATTCTTTGGGACCCAGATGTGGCTGAGTCAGTCCCCAAATGGGGAACACAGGTGCAGCCAGTTTAATACAGATGACTTTCCTCAGAAAGCCAGATTGATTTTTGTTTTTAGCATTTGAGAACATGGCATCAATTTTTTTCTTTTTCTGGTGGTGTGGAAGGAAAAAAAATGGGAGCACAGACCTGTTTTGATTTGGGCCAATGAAATTTTAAAAGGGCATTTGAAAACCCTATTCTCCTGGGGGGAAACTCTATCTCTGTCCTTCCCTTTTTTTTTTTTTTTAAATTTTTTTCTAGGACTTAATTCTTAGCTATGGGGAGGGTTGTGACCACAGAACCATGAGACTTTGTAACATCTGTGTCCTACCTTGGAGTCAGTAAAGATTCTACCAAGTGTTTTTGGAATTGGAGGTGGGGGGAGTTGGTATGGAGCCAAGATAGAGAGAAGACATAGGGGTGATATGGCCCCAGTGTCCCTCACTCACTCTTACTCATCTGGCAGCTGAATCTCTTCTCCCATCTCTAGCTCCATATCTTTCCTCTCTCTCTCTATAGTCATCCAGGACAGTTCTCAGAATTCTGACAATTAGTGTGTCTCCGTCACCCTGGTTGTTTTAACTTGTTCCTCGGTCATTCCTGGCCAGCATCACAGGCAGTTTGCTAAAACCCACTTTTCTTTTGGACTACTCACAGAATATGTACTTTGGATGCCAAATCCCATTCTAAAGCAGAATGTGACCTGAGTCTGTTTAAAACACCAGAATGTATTCTTGTCTACAGTTAGGCAACCTAGAATCATTCATTTCCATTGGAAACTGAAAACCAGAGGGGACCTGGATTTTACTCTCACCTCACCCCCTCAATTCTGCTGTATAATCTTAGGAATGTCACTAACCTTTCTGGGCTACCATTCATCCTGTCAAAATCAGAGCTTAATAATACTTATCCCAGTTCATCTCCTGTGAGGACAGATGTGACAGTCTATGTGAACACACCCAGAGCTCTTTGACAAAAAGGTGCCACATGTCATTTGCACAATCTGTGGCAGTAGATTGAAGCTCTTTCCTGGGAATGAAGGATGTAATTTGACCATTTGGATACCTGTTCTGCCATCCCTTGAAGTAAGATTTGCACCCCCACCCCCAGACCATTATAACTCAGTGTTTGTCTGGTTTTATTATTATTATCATTAATCTTTCCTTATTCTTTTGTTTTCCGTCTCCCTCCCCCCTCCCCCCTCAGCACTTATCTTTTCCGTTTAATCTATTAATTTCTGTTCTTATTTCATTTTGCAGACTATTCGCCGATATCACAAGACATAATTTTTATCAGCTAGTTCTTAAGGAGGCATAACAAATTGAAGTTTACTACCATTGCTAATGGGGGGGGGGAGAGAGAGAGAGAGAGAGAGAGAGAGAGAGAGAGAGA